CGTGGCCCGCGGTGCCCCGCCGGTGCCCCGCCGGTGCCCCGCGCAGCTGAGGCGCGGCCGGACCAAATGACTCCCTTCCGGGCGGCCGGTGGCCAGCGGTGTCCCGCCGGTGTCCCGCCGGTGTCCCGCAGTGCCCCGCGGTGTCCCGCGGCGCCCCGCGGTGCCCCGCCGGTGTCCCGCGGTGTCCCACGATGATGATGATGATGATGATGATGATGATGAGATGAGATGAGATGATGATGATGATGATGGTGGTGGTGCTAATGATGTTGATTCTGATGGTGATGATGACGATGATGATGATGATCGCGATGCCGTTGATGATGATGAGGACTATGATTATGATATGATGATGGTGTTCCGATGATAATGGTGATGATGTCGATGATGATGATGATGACGCGGATGATGATGATGTTGATGGTGTCCCGATGATGAGGATGATGATGACCATGCTGATTATGTTGATGATCATGATGATGACGATGCTGGTGTCCCGATGATGATGACTATGATGATGGTGGTGTTGATGATTATGATTATGAATGTGTCCCGATGATGATGATGATGTTGATGATGATGAGGTTGATGATGATTATGGCGTCCCGATGATGATGATTATTCTGATGGTGATGATGATGATGTTGATGATGATGGCGTCCCGATGGTGATGATGATGATGATGTTGATGCTGATGTTGGTAATGATGATGGTCTCCCGATGATGGCGATGATGATGATGCTGATGATGATACTGATGATGCTGATGATTTTGATGTCGATGATAAGGATGAGATGATGATGATGGTGTCCCGATGATGATGATGACGATGACGTTGATTGTGAGAGCGGTTGTGATATCGATAGTGAGATCGATAGTGAGACCGAATGTGATATCGATTGTGAGATCGGTTGTGACATCGATAGTCAGATCAATTGTGAGATAGATCGAGTGAGATCGATTGTGAGATCGATCGAGCGAGACCGATACTGACATCGATAGTGAGATCGATAGTGAGACCGATCGAGTGAGACGTTGGCCCCCCCCCCCGAACCTCCTTATCACCCGAAGGTGGTCGTATAGGTCTGTATATATATATATATATATACATACACATATCTATATATATATATATGAATATATATATATATATATATGTCTACAGCTTTCCCGAATATCGATACTTCGCGCTCATAATTACGATGAAAGCCGAGGAAGGCACATGTTAGGATCAGCCCGTCGAAGATTCTGGGTTTCGCGCAAATTGACTCGCGCCCGCCAGCACATCCAGAAACGATCGCAAAGGCCGCGCTGCCTCGAGAAGGCTGCGCGGAACAGAAATTCTGTGCAGAATTCACATTGGGCGATTTCCTGGGTCGCCGTGCACCTACAGGCAAGTTTCGGGCTGCTTTCGCCGGGCGTTTGATGGGCTGTTCGGAAGCGCCTACGGCCCGGGCCGCCAGGGCCCACAGCGCGAAAAGATTCCGCGCGCGGCCTCGTTCGCGCGCGTTGGCTTCGTGGGAAGAGAAGGTCTTGGGCCGGGCCATGTTCGGCCATTTTCGCACCGCGGGCCGCAGTGGAATTTGTTTTCTCAACATGTCCTTCGGCATCTCACTTGGAGATCAATGGGGGCGCCCCGCTGCGCTCTCAGCAGCTGCCGGCGCCGCCGGCCCGGGGCCGGGCGGGCTCGCTGGAACGCGAGGGCGGGGGGACACAGAGGTTAGGGGGGGATTTCCCGTCTTGCTTATTCTTCAAGCGCTTGACTCTGGGCTGACTTTGAACGTTTGAGTTTCGGTTTTTGGGAGCCACGCTCGCGGCCATTGTCTCCCCCGGTTTTTTCTTCGGTTTCGTTCAACAAACCATGTTGTTGACACCGCCGGGGACGTCGACGCGTCGGCGCCGTCCCCGCGTTTTTGCGTTTGTTTCCACAGGTTCGAATACAGACCGCTCTGCACTGCGCGCGGAGGGACTGGAGCCGCGGCCACTGCTGCGCCTGCTCGCGACCCCGCCGCGGACGACAGCGACGATGACTGCGAGCGCCCTGCGATCCTTCGGCCCATCAGGCGCTTGGTGCGCTGTTATAGGGCGCATGCAGTTATCCAGTGCCTCAGGCACATGTAGATGTTCGAGGGGTACCGCGATCGCGCGATACAGCTAAATGCGCCGTCATCCGCGCCCAAACGCACGTGCCAGACAAGATCGGAAGTTATCCACTTCACAATGACAGGCCCTGTTGCACGAATGCACGAAAACGCAAACGAGTGGTTTAGTGAGGTAGTATGATTCATTGCCTTTCGTGCCCGAAGCACGTTTACGGACGGCGCCGCCCACTTCACAGTGACAGGTCGCTGTTGTTTGATTACAGAAAGAAACAAATTAGTGGCTCAGTGAGATATGCAGATCCATTGCCCTTCGCGCCCGAAGCATTCTCACGGACAGTGTCACCCACGTCGCAACGACAGGTCTTTGTTGTTTGATTGCACGAACACGCAAATGAGTGGTTTAGCGAGATGCGCATGTCCGTCGTCTGTCGTGCCCGAAGCACGCGCGCGGTAAGCATTACCCACTTCATCGCGTCAGGTCTCTGTCGTTCGATTGCGCGAACACGCGCGCGAGTGGTTCGGCGAGGTATTCAGCTGCATTGCCCTTCGTTCCCGAAGGGCATGCAGCGCAGAGGCAAATTCCAGATTCACGATGCAAAGCAATCTCCCCCTTGGAAACAGGCTCTACAGAGCAGTTCCACGGCGCGGAGAAGTCTTCTTCCCGCAATGGGGGTTCACGCATCAGAGATACACACCAGCCCCATGATACAAGGGGGTCTAAACAGCAGCATGTCGACGCACAGCAATTTTTCTTTTGCTTGACATCGCCACAAAGTGGGATTCCATCGCTGGAAAAGCGACTTCTACGTTTCTCGCATCATTCAACTTGGTTTCGCTCTTGGATTTTTCCCGGGTTTCTTCTGGGTCATCTTGGGCTGCGCTGGGGTCTCGGATTGCTCCGGGCTATCTTTCGGGTCATCTCAGGCTGTTCTGGAAAGCCCGGATTGTTCGGGATTTTCTTTTGGGTCATCTTGGGCTGTTCTAGAATATAGGATTGTTCCGGAGTTTATTTTGTCATCTTGGGCCGTTCTGTAATCTTGGATTTTGTTCCAGAGATTCTTGCGAGTCGTTCAGGGCTGATCTGGAATCTCGGATTACCCCGAAGTTCTGTTGATGTCATCTTGGAGTTTTCTGGGAGTTCGGACTGGTCCAGAGTTTGTCACGAGTCAGATTGCGCGTTTCTCCCGAGTCACATCGCGCGCTTCTCTAAGTCATCCCGCGCGTTTCTCTCGAATCATACTGCGCGTTACTCTTCGGTCACATTGCGCGGCTCTCTCGAGTCATCTCGCGTGTTTTTCTTGAGCCATATCGCGTTGTTATATTGGGTCATATTGCGCGGTTCTCCTGAGTCAGGTTGCACGTTTTGATTGAGTCGTCTTGCGCGTTTCTCCCGAGTGATATCGCGCGTTTCTCCCATGCCATCTCGGGCGTTTCTCTTGGGGCATCCAGTCGGCGATCCGATTGGGACCGAGCCGCAATTGCGCCGAGCACGCCCCGCAGCAGTCGCAAGTTGGACAGGACTGGATGGGCGCCTGCGCCCATCCAGTCACGCGCCAGTCGGGGTGTCGACTGGGGCGCGACTGGGTGGTCCGAGCCCCCCACTTGACCCGAGCCTCGCGGGGCGGGTCGGAGAGCGCGGGCGACCGCATGCATCCTTAGAGAGGGCAGGCAGCGGCGCGATGGCCGGATCGTTCACTGCAGATGCTTCACAATGTGTCAGCGCGTTCTGATGGCGAAAACATTGAAGCAAAGCGTGTTCAGCTTCTGCAAGCTGAAAGCGCTGTACTTTACACGGTGTCGGTACCTTCCGATGTTGCAAACATTGTAGAACACACCGTCCTGGCGCTTGAGGAGGCTGAGAATTCTTGCCGTTTCATGTTTCTCTGATACGCGAACACCAACAATATTGAAAGCACAACAGCGTTTGCAGTATCATTGGATTTCCCGTTTTTTTATTGTTTTTTGTGTTATGTTTCTGCCTGGTGTCCTCCAAGTACTTCCACGATATAAGTTGATGCGCCATCCTTCCGCAAAAGGAATCCGATTTACACTCTCGACAAAAGGAATCCCATCCAGGCCTTCCACCAAGAATATAAATTGAAATATTGACCCAAAAAAATCAAAAACAAATTTTCGATAAAAAAAGAATATTGTTCTAAATTTCGACAAAAGGGTCTCATTGAAACACTTGCAGAACGAATTCGATCGAAATCTTGCACAGAGAAAGTGTTACCATAACCTTCCACAAAAGGAATCCCATACACATTTTCTATTAAAACAAGAAATCCGATTCAAAATCTCGGCAGGAAAAATCTTGTGAACATGTTCCACAAAGGGAGTCCCATAGAAACTCTTCCCAAAAGAAAAAATGGAATCGTATATAAAATGCGTCGCATCCAATTTTCAACAAAAAGAAGTACGAATGACAGATGTTACACGTTGAACCCGATGGAAGGCTCTTCAAAACAAAAAAATACCTTAGGCTTACCCTAGGCGCACCTAAAGCTCATATGCCAAAAGTTCACGCAGCCATATTTCAGGTTAATTTTAAACTTATCCTCATCCGACCTAGGCTTATTTTTGGCTGAGTATATTTCATATGTTCCTTCCCCCCTTCCCCCCCCCTCCCCGCTCAAAAGAAAAACATAACATCGTTTCGGTCCGCGCCCCCCCTCCCTTCCTCCAAACACCCAACACGCCTGTACGGAACTATCCAGGTATTCCGGCCCCCCTCTCCTAGAAACCAACTCATCCACCACGGCTGGGCCCCTCTGCCATTTCGTCTGCCCCTTCCTCTTGCCGAGCTTTCACCCAGCTGGAGCCGACGCCAAGAAGAAGAGGAGGAGGAAGAGGAGGGTGACCAAATACATAGGGCGGACAGGATGCAGGGAGGAGAAGATGGGAGGAAAGCAGGCGGTTGGGCTTACATTCACCCGTGCCCCGTCTGGTCACAGTTTCGCAGGAACACAATTGCATTTGGAACTACGAGGGCGACAACAAGGAGGACTTCCTTGACGATTACACGCGGCAGTTCCAGGTCAAGTGCTCGAAGAAGATCACATTCGACTCGAGCCCGAGGACGCCCCCCTTCATTCGTGATCACGAGAATGTGGTCACGACGACGGGGGTCAGGATGGAGAGCGCGCGGCCACCGTGATTTGCCTCGTCCGTTTTCTCTCCTGGGGTTCCCTGCCTTGCGGGGTCGGGGGAGGGCGGGATGAGGCCCGAGCCGACGTCAGCAAGAGCGTCATAGACTCCTTCGCTTTGTGAGCCCGCGCCCTGCGGCGGCAGGACCATCTACCTCGGGGACCCCGCCGACGAGCAGACCGCCACCTACCCGATCGCCCTGAGGTACGGCCTCGGCGAGGGCGCCGTTGCTGCCCTGAAGGACGTTGCCGCCCGTATCCATCAGCATTGAATGCTCAGGGAAGCAGGCACGCCTTGCTGTGGGCCACGGTGGTGATGATGCAGTGCTTAATCAAGGTTGTCTTTTGTGTTTGTGTCATGGCTTGCTCGGCCCTTCCATGCCTGTTCGGCCCAATGGCCTTGCATCCTTGCCTTGCACCCTGTTCCCACGGTCGGCTGTGGATGGTTGATGAGGCACAGTGTTCTCATATTAATAGGTCGACCATTCGAGATCAACGTCGCACTCAGTGCCATCCCAATCCCACTCTAGCCCATTCGAAAGTTCTCTCGTTCCTTGCGCCCTGTTTTGGAGATGCGATTCCAACCATTCGTCCCACCGATCCTGGCCCAGGATCGATGCATGCGCCCTCCTGCCCTAGTCAAGGGGATCATACCCCGTGGCTTCAGGGGCGATGCCAAGAGGCTCGGCACTGGATGCGGGCCACAGAAGTGCAGCATCTGGGCTCAGCCACAATCCAGGAAGGCGACGAGCGAGCCTCCAAAAGTGCATGCCACAACGAGGAGGGGGCGGAGGAATAACTAGGCGGAGGGAGGATGGCGCAAGTTGATCTTCTTGGCTTGATGGTGCCTTCGCGCCAATGCATGTGGACTGGCGTTAAGGTTTGATGTGCACCAGCGCACCCAAACATCTTCGCGAACAGGTTCAGGCAACATCTTGTCTGCGACACGATGATGACGACTATGATGGTGGTGGTGATGATGATGACGATGACGATGAAAACCATGATTATAAACACGATGGTGATAATGACGATGATTATGTTTATGATGATGTTGATGGTGATGATGATGGTGATGACGATGATGATGATTACGCTGGTGGTGATGGCGGTTGTGGTGATGATGATGGTGGTGATGATGATGGTGGTGATACATGATAATGACGATGACGATCATGATGATGAGGAGGAGGAAGAGGGAGACGAGGAGCACGGAGATGATGGCGACGACAATAACGACAATTCGGATGTGGTCTATGGTTGTGCTGGTGATGTTAGTGCGACGTCATACGATGATGCCGATGGTGATGCTAACACTGACGAAGACGCCGATGATGTTGATGATGATGATTCCGACTACGATGATGGTGATGATGATGGTGGTGGGAATAGTGGGTATCATCATGGTGGGATTGCTGACGCCAGCGACGATGGCGACGACGACGACGGTGACGATGGCGATGCTGACGACGGCGACGGTGATGATGATGCTGATTATGGCTGTAATGATGCCCCATGATGCTGCTGATGATGATGACGACGATGTGGATGATGATTGTGTTGGTGGTGGTGATGATGACGTATGACGGTGACGACCGATGCGTGTACGGTTAACGATTTGTCACGCATTGCAAGTGCCATCCAAGGATGCATATCCGATTCGAAAACGGAGTTGACACAAGTTGTAGGCGTGACCTGGAAGGATATGGCATCAGATGTGGCGCGAGCGTGCCTATCTTGCCTCTCTCCCCTCTCAGCTCTACCTTCCCCTCCCTCTTCTCCCCTCGCGCTTCGCATCGCGTAGGGAGAAGGGACGCGTCCTTGAGTTCGGGGAGCGATGTCGTCGTCGTCCTCCTCCTCGTGCTCCTCCTCCTTCTCTGCGTTCCCCCTCCCTCGAGGACGACTCCGAACTAAACCAAGCTCCCTTTCTTCCAGTAAGTTTGGATCAGGCATCCCCGCTCCCAATCATTGGTTGCCCCATTGAGGATATAGTGGGCGCGGACGCCAAGTTCATTGCAATGTTCCGCGATCCTGTGCCGTGGGCGATGTCCAACGGCGTCCAGGACGTGCTCAACGAGGAGGAGTTGCAGAACATTCAGGTCGGTATGAAATGCACCGAGCGGCTGGAGGAGGAAGAGGAGGAGGAGGAGGCAGAGGACCATGATGAAGTGAGGATTACGAGGAAACTGACGACGACGACGTCGACGACGACGATAGTTATGATGATGATGGTGGTGATGATGATGAGGATACAGATGATGATGCTATTATTGCTGATGGTAGGAAGGAGGAAGAGGATTAGGATGGGGATGAGGACAAAGATGAGGTTGATGATGGTGGTGATGATGAGTATGATGATGACGATGATGATGATTATTATTGAAATGAGGATGGTGATGATGATGGTGATGGTAAGGGTGATGATGGTGATGATGGTGATAATGATGGTGATACAGATAAGTGTGATGACCAATTGTAATGCGATGAGTGTGTTGACGATGCGTATGACGATGATGATGATGATAATGAGTATGATGCTGATGATGATGGCAGTGGTGGTGATGATGATAATGATGATGATGATGATGATGATGATGATGATGGTGATGGTGATGATGATGATGATGATGATGATGATGATGATGATGATGGTGATGATGATGATGATGGTGACGGAGGTGTTGAGGGCTATGCAGGTGATGGTTATGTTAATGACGACGGCGATGAAGACGACGACGACGACGACGACGACGACGACGACGACGACGACGACGACGACCACGGTTTCTTCGACGACGGCGGCGACGGTGGTAATGATGAGCGTGATGATGTTGATGATGTTGATGATGAGGAGGATCGGATCGTCCACAGCGCCGCGAAGCCCCTGGCCCCACTTCTCTGCTGGCTGATCCGCCGACACCTCACAGACCGCGCGAAGATCTGCACGAACTGGGCGGCTCGCGCTCGGCCCAGCTGGTGCTCTCGCCATCCTCTCGCTCCTGCTCCTCCTCCTCCTCCTCCTCCTCCTCCTCCTCCTCCTCCTCCTCCTCCTCCTCCTCCTCCTCCTCCCTCCTCCTCCTCCCTCCTGCTCCTCCCAACCCCCGACCAGGGTCCGCTCGGAGCAATCCCCAGAATCGTCTTGGGGCCCGTCGTGCCCGATGCACAGCGTCCAGGCGTGGCGGCGAGAACCTCCCCCCTCTCCCGGCGCGCGGCGCGCGCCGGGGGTGGCGCAGCCCGGGGTGGGCCACCGTCGGGGCGGGGGGGGCGGGGCGGGCCGCACGCACTGCTCATCCTGGGCCCTGGCGCGGCCGATCCGCGGTGCTCCTCCAGGATCGCGGACGTCTGCTTCAGGCGCCGCCTCCGGCCCGCGGTCGGCGCCCCGCGCCAGGAGCGAGGGAGGGCGCGAGCGCCGGCCCGCGCGCGGCGCTCGCGCCGGTGCCACGCCTCCTCCGCGGCAGGCGCGACGGTCCCAGCCCGAGGGGAGCCTGCGGCAGCTTGTGTGCCCCCAGGCGCTCGGGCCGAAACGACGACGACGAAGACGGCGACGACGACGACGACGACGACGACCAGGACGTCGTGGACGACGAGGACGACGACAGCAAGGACGACCACGAGCCAAGACCACGAGCGGCGACGACCACCACCCGATGATGGGGACGGCTTGTTCGACCCCTCCCGGGGGATCGCTGGTTCGCCCCAGATCCCTGTTTTTGAGGGCCGCGGGGCACCACGCCGGCCTCCAGAAGGCCCCCGGCACGGTGCGCGAGCGGCCACCGCGGTCTCTCACCGAGCGCCGGGCGGTGCGGGAGGGCGCGAGCTTTGCTGCCTCGATACGGACGTTTTGATGCGCAACACGCACCGCACTCAAGACGTCCGTGCCAGTGCGTTGCGTGTCGGCTCCACGTATTGGCCCACGTCTCGGCGAGTGTGTCGCGTCGGACCCACGTGTTCAGTCCACGTGTTGAGCTCCGCATCGATGCGCTGCGTGTTGGCGCGCTGCGTATCGGGGCGGCTAAGGGGTGCGAAGGGTCGCCCGCCTGCGGCCCCCGCAGGTCAACCGGTCGAACCTGGGCTTCAGCAAGAACTTCCTCAGGGGGCAGGCGCGCGGCGGCCGTGCGCCCTCCCCTGCCTCGGCGTGCGCGCCGCCTCGTCTCGCAGCGGCGTTCGCTCGTCACGGGTCGCCGCCGCCACCTCCGCGGGGCAGGAGGGGGAGATTTGTCCCCCCCCTCCTCCTCCTCCTCCTCCTCCTCCTCCTCCTCCTCCTCTTCTTCATCCTCCTCCTCCTGTTCCTCTTCCTCCTCGCCCTGCGCCCGACGATCATCTCGAGGCGGCTCGCGCTGCCCGAATGGTGGCTGAGCTCACGTTTCGCCACGGGACGGCCCTTCGGCGATAGGGTGATGGTGGGAGGATTTTTTCTTCGACGCTGCGCCTCCTCCTCGTCCCACGCTGCGTCTACTTCTCCTCATCCTCCTCCCCGGCTTCGGAGCTGGTGGTCGGCATTATTGAGCCCGCCCTCATTCTCGTCTGAGCGCATTGGTTCTCTTGCTTTGTTCCGCCTCAGGCATTCGTCGTCGCCGTCCTCCCCCTCCACAACTACACAATATGAATACTACTCTCCTCTCTCCCCTGGTGACGTCCGGGAAATCTTCGGCCCCCCTCCGCGTCCTGTTTTTTTCACACAGGATGCCTGGGAAACGGGTTTTCGCTTGGGTCTGTTCTTCAAAATGCTGCTCTCGCTGAAGCGCTGGCCTCATTATCGGGCTACCATTCGTTCCGAATCGTGCTCCCGCTGCAGCGCTGGTCTCATTCCGCGCTTCCGCTCGTTCCGAATCGTGCTCCCGCTGCAGCGCTGGCGTCATTGTTTCCAATGCCATGCCACGGCATGGTTTTCGGTCCTTCCAAATCGGCCCAAAAATTTAGAAAATGGCCCCCGAAAAAAACCATCGGACGTGATTACGCATTCGGTGTCGATTTATTGGTTGTTTGGATCGCAGATGCCCTGCTATGCTATGTCAGGCTACGCGTCCTCCGAATCGTGCTCCCGCTGCAGCGCTGGCTTCATTTTCGCGCTTCCGCTCGTTCCGAATCGTGCTCCCGCTGCAGCGCTGGCGGCATTATTTCAGTGCCATGCCACGGCATGGTTTTCGGTCCTTCAGAATAGACCCCAAAATCTAGGAAATGCCCCCGCCGAAGAAACCATCGGATCTGATTACACATTCGGCGTCGATTCGTTAATTTTTTGGGCCGCGTTGATCTTCAACACCATGCGATGCCACGTAACGCTGTGCCCTGCTACGACATCCGACTGTGCGAATAGAGAGGAGATCTACGCCATGGTAAGGGATGGGAGGGAGAGGTAGGACTTCAGATATGACGCGAGCGCGCCTAGCTTGTCCTCCCCTGTCTCTGGGACCTCGGGGTCCTTCCCGTCGCCTCGGCCCGGACTCGGCTCGGAAGACGGGCCAGGAGGGTGCCCGAGAGGGGTCCGGGCGTTCGTTGTTTGGGAGCTTCTGGCCGAGGCATCAGTGCCTAGACGCCCCGCGGGCCTCGTGCGAGAGGACGCCGTGGGCCTCGTTCGCAGGCTGCCGTGCGCAGTCCGCGCGCTCGACATGCCACTGCCAGGGGGTCGTCCCATCATCCACATCCACATCATCATCATCATCATCATCATCATCATCATCATCATCATCATCATCATCATCATCATCATCATCGTCATCGTCATCGTCATCGTCATCGTCATCGTCATCATCAGCATCATCATCGTCATCACCAGCCTCAGCCTCAGCATCAGCATTAGCATCAGCATCATCGTCAGCATCAGCATCATCATCATCATAATCACTGCCACCATCATCATCACCACCATAATATTCAACTTTACCACCATCATCAGCAAAATCATCAGCAGCCTCATCATTACCCCAATAATCACAATCACCACGTCATCATCAGCATCATCGTCATCAGTAGCATCATCATCACCATCGTCATCCTCGTCGTTGTCATCGTCGTCATCATCATCAGCAGCATCATCAGTGTCATCGTCATCAGCATCATCATCACCATCACCATTTTTGGCTCAAGCAGCGGCTGGGGCGCTGTTCACGCACGGCTTCGCTTGTTCAGGCTGCGCGCCCCCCGCCTGGCAATGGGGCGAGGTTCTGAAAATGGCGCGGAAGCAATACTCTGGTGGCTCGCGGGGCGAGTCAGGCAGCTGGAGAAGACGACAAGAACAACGTGAAGCTGGTTGGAGCTCGAAAGCGCGCCAATAAGGATAAGCAAGAGAAGGACTACAAGCAGTTCCCGTTCAACGTCGACGCCGAGGAGTTTTACCCAGGTCCTCCGGGCTGTTGGGCTCCGGGCTACTGGGGCAGCGAGTACGTCGAGCAGGTGATGAGCGAGAGGGTCGTCGAGACCAGGAAGGGTAAACACGGCGAGTACGAGGAGAACGATGCAAAGTTGGTCGAAGTTCGAGAGTGTGCCAAGAAGGATAAGAAAGCGAAGAAAGCCAAGAAAGACAAGACATATAAGAAGGAAAAGAAGGTTGGGTTCGAAGAGCACGACCACGATGAGTACAACATGGAGCTGGCGAATGCGGTCGAAATCCGAGAGAGCGTGAAGAAGTATAAGAAAGAGACAAAGACCAGGATGGCTAAGTACGGCGAGCACGACGATTTCGACGAGTACGACGAGTACGACGAGCACGGCGTAAAGTTGGTCGATGTTCGAAAGCGTGCCAAGAAGGGAAAGAAAGAGGACGGCAGCGAGCACGGCGAGTGCGTCTACGACGGGCACGACGCGGAGTTGGCGACGTCGGTCGATGTTCGAGAGTGTGGCGAGAAGGATAAGAAAGAGGCAAAGACCACGAAGGCTAAGTACGGCGAGTGCGACGAGTTCGACGAGTCCGACAAGCGCGGCGTAAAAAAGCTGGTCGATATACGGGAGCGTCCCAAGAGGGAACGGAAAGAGGACGGCAACGAGCACGGCGAGAACGACTACGAGGAAGACGAGGTGGAGTTGGCGAAGTCGGTCAAAATTCGAGAGTATGACAAGAAGGATCAGAAGGAGACAAAAACCACAAAGGCTAAGTATGGCGAGTACTACGAGCTCGACGAGTACGACAAACGCGATGCAACGTTGGTCGATGTTCGAGAGCGCGCCAAGAAAGATACGAAAGAGGACGACTGCAAGCACGGCGAGCACAGCTACGACAAGCGCGACGTGGAGTCTGCGAAGTTGGTCGATGTTCGAGACCGTGGCAAGGAAGACAAGAAAGAGACAAAGACTAAGAAGGCCAAGCACGTCGAATACGACGAGTTCGACGAGCGCAGCGAGCACGACGCTAAGCTGATCGATGTTCGAGAGCGTGCCAAGAAGGAGCAGAACGAGCACGACGAGTACGACACAAGGATCACGAAGATCGGGTCCCGTTTGGACACAGTGGACAGCACTCTAACCAGCTTTCTCCCGCTGTTCAAGGAGGAGCTGGCCGCGCCCCTGGTCGCCAGAGTCGAGGCCTGCCGCAAGGAGACCGCGGATCCCGGGGGGAACTTCAACATCCTGGCGCGCAATCTGGAGCGCGAGGTGCATGGCCTCAGCACGAAGTTTCGCAGGAAGTTCTACGACGCCGACCTCGAATCCGACTGAACGGGACCTGGTCCCGCTCGCGAACCTCTTCACCACCTGGCTTTGAGCCGCTCGGACGTGGAGCCGCTGGCGCCAGGGAGGGACCTCTGGAAGCCCACGAAGCAAAAGCATCACCATCACCATCGCCATCACCCGCACCACCATCACCACCATCATTGTTACACCTAGCACCATCATCATATTCATACATCATCGTTGCCAGCATCAGCATCATCCTCATCATCATCAACTCACCATCATATTCATCTTCGTTCCCCACCATCATCATCATGCCCATCATCGTCCTCATCTTCATCCCCACCGAAATCGTCATCATCGTCATCGTCATCGTCATCGTCAGCACCACCACCATCACCACCATCGTTACCACAAACTTCATTATCGTCATCATTCGCCGCTGTCTTCGTTTCACCACCCCGTCGGCACCCGTCCGTTGCCTGGATATCTGCGTCTCGGGCAACGAGCGGCGGTCTCGTCTTGGCACCAGTCGCTCCGCCATCTGATATCACGCCCCTGGCGTCGGCCCAAAACAAGCTCGCGGGGCAGGAAGACGCATTCCAAATCAAGGGACAACGTCCTACCGTATTGGGGCTCTCTTGGGCGCCTCTTTCGTATTAGGGGCCTTTTGGCGTCTTGGGGGCCTCTTGGAGCGTCTCGCGTGCCTCGGGAAGTTTCTTGGGGCCTCTAGGGGGTCTGGGAGCCCCTTGGAGGCCTTCTGGGCGCCTCTTGGGGCCTCCTGGACGCCTCTGGGGCCCTCTTGAGGCGCTCTTGGGAGCCTTGGGAGCGCTCAAGGCCCTCTTGTTCAAGACCGTCGGTGCACCCCCCGCTGCCAGCATCTCCGCCGCCCGCCTCGTCACTTGGGCCACCCGCAGGGTTTGCGAAGACGATCATGCTCGGCGCTGCGCGGCCCGGGCCGCCGGGCTGAATCCCTTTCGCCGCCGCGGCCGATCGTATTTTGGAAAGCGGTCGGGACCCTGCCCCGGAGAAATCAAGGGATTGGTGCTGTCCATCCAGGCTTCCTAGACGGGGTCCGAGTAGATGGGGTCGGAGGATCGCGCCGCTTCGCCGATGCATCGACGATGCGGCTCGATGCGGAGCCCGATTTTCTCCACGCCGACGTCGCCGATGCATCGGCAGTGTATCGCCGATGCATCGCCGATGCATCGCCGATGCATCGCCGATGTATCGCCGATGCGGCGCGATTCTCCGACCCCATCTACTCCGACCTCATCCAGGAGGCTTCTAGTCCACCAGACGGCGGAAAGGGGTTGGAACGGGAATACGAATAACTCGGTCCAGAGCGCGCTGGGGCACCCGGGGCGCGCTCTAGTGCCCCAAGAGCGCTCGATGCGCCCCCCGGGTTCGCAGGCTCCCGAGGATTCCCAGGCTTCTGTGCCTGATGCTGTTCGCATCCTGCGCTCGTCTAGGGGAGGGGAGAGGCGGGGGAGGG